TACAGTATAACCTCGATATAACGAACCTCAATAAACCGAATCAGCCACTATAACGAAGAATTTTTCTAGCTGAAATTATAGATTAATTAATGTAAAGTACCTCGATATATCGAAAATTTGATATATCGAACCAAACACCCAAGCTCCAGAGCTTCGTTATATCGAGGTTATACTGTAATTATTAAAATTGATGTTATTTTTACTGAATATGCATCTTTGAATAAATACCTTTTTTTGGTAGTAACGTATTAATCGCAGGTGGTAAAGTATCATGTGAATTATCGTTATCATTATTTGTAGAAGGCTGAACATTTTTTCTTGCTATATTAATTATTAAAATTGATGTTATCAGATTTTTTTTTGATTTTTTGCACAATGAACGTAGCGTTTTACTAAAGCTACTAATAATATTTTTATTAGTATACGTTATTGAGTGAAAAGATAAATACCTTTTTTTGGTAGTAACGTATTAATCACAGGTGGTAAAGTATCTTGTGAATTATCGTTATCGTTATTTGTAGAAGGCTGAACGTTTTTTCTTGCTATATTAATTATTAAAATCTGTTATCTTTACTGAGTATGCATTTTTGAACTGAAGGATAAATACTTTTTTTGGGTAGTGAGATTGTATTAATCGCAGGTGGATTTTGTGCATTATCATTATCGTTATCATTATTTGTAATATTTTGCGTAGGAGACCGGGCACTTTTTCCTGCTAAATTTAATTATTAAAATTGATATATTAAGTATACATATTCATATACTGAATATCTTTGAATGGAAGGATAAACACCTTTTATTGGTAGTGGTATTGCATTAATTGAAGTATTAGAATCTTGTGCATTATCGCTATCATTATTTGTAATATTTTGTATAGGGGACTGAATACTTTTTCCTGATATATATTAATTATTAAATTGAAATATTTAATAAAGCACTACATGCGCACCTTATATAATAAGTAAATTCAAAAAGATAAAAAAAAATTGAAATGTTTTCTTTACTTAGATACATCTTTGAATAAAAGGATAATACCTTTTTTAAATAGTGATCTTATATTAGTCGCAGGCATTAAAATATTAGAATTATCGCTTACTATACTGTCTTGATCAGTATTTTCGATGTCATAATCTTCTCTTGGTATATTATATTCAAGATTTGAAGTGACAGAATCTTGAGTATGGTCGGTCATTTCATGTGTGTCTTCTTGATTAGACATACTTTCTATATCGAAATGGTTTGTGTATTTTTGAACAGGATGTCAAGTATTCTTTTTTGGTAATGGTAATGCATGTTTTTTTATTTTTGTACCAGCAATTTTCTTTTTTTTTGCTTGATTAATATCTTTTTGTGTATTAGTCACAAGAGTAGAAGTGTCAGAATCTCTTGTATGGTCAGTCATCTCATCCACGCTATCTTGATCGAGAACACTTTCAATTTGAGTATGGTTTGTATTGCGTTTTCGAGCAGGAGGCCGAACATTCTTTTTCGGCGGTGGTAATGCATACCCTTTTGCTTTTGCATTAGCAATTTGCTTTTTTTTTTCTTGATCAACTATTATAGTTATAGAAAATTTAGATTGTAAATAATAAGAAGCTATACTGCTATAAGATGATACTTACCCATGCTATTACAATATGAAGCAAGACAAGGTTTACTAGATTTTCCACTTTGAGCTAAGTTTTTTGTTTCGAACCCTTTTACCCTTCTCTACTTGTAAAGTGTGATATTCCTCCCCAGTCACGAAGAATAAAATCAGCTTCAGAAACTGGAAACGTTGGATTCGCTTTATTAAACTATAATAATAATAATAATAATAAATATAAAAACAATAGTCTTTATACTTCAAAAATTTTAGATTATTACTTCTTTAATTACTTCTTTAGCTTTTCCCTTTGGTTGTCGAGATAGAGGTTCACCACGTAAAAATCGAGAAGCTGCACGATTTTGTAGATTATTCTGCAATATACCAATACGTATAATCATTAATATTAATTAAAAAAACTGCAAAATGTATAATAAACACACTATAAGGTATCCTTTTTAAGGAGGTGCAAAAAAAAGCAAACTTACTCTAAAATTTAAGTATTGCTTTTTGTCTAAGTTTAAAAATTCATACCATTGTAATTCATTTTTATTTCTTTTTTGAGTATCTTTATAGTCTTCGTATTCTTTAATCTTTATTGGGTTCATTGTAAATCCTTTTGGGAACTGCAATATTATATGCATATTAGCCCAAATGATTTTAAGCAAATATTTATAGAGCAAGAAGAAACCTACTTGCTCATTAATAATCCCATGAACAGCACTACGTGAATCTAAAAGTGGTTGTGCAAGAGTAGGATCGATAGCAACTAATACAGCATATAACCGATGACGTCGTTCAGAATTTAGCACGTTAGGCAAAGTTGGATCAGCATCGATTAGTGCGAGAAAAAGTTGACGACGTTGCTCAGAATTAAGCATGTGGATATTAACCGAAAGATTATGGTTTTCCATTAGATTTTTTTTTATTTTAAAATGTTATACTTTTTAATTGATTTTTTTATTAAATGAATAAAAGAAATTTAAAAAACAAACCCAAATTATATTTATAGTAGACAACATTTATGACGTATTTACTCTGAGTCTATTATTAATCATCAAAGTATCAGTCGTATATAGCAATATATAAATTACTTTTACAATCTTTAATAATGAAATAGTTTTTATCTTACAATGATCAATGATGTTCTTTATACATGTGTCTGGTACCTGCAAGAGACAAATGGTCAGAGTAAATTAGTTAGCAGAGCAACCTGTACAAGGCATTTAATGAAGCAAAAAAAAACCTGGCCTAAATCAACAGATATGTCTACAATACAACGACAGCTAGCTACTTCTATTTCTACACTTTTACCAGTTCAGACATATCTAGATAAAGACAACTGCAATAATAATAAACTCACTAATATTAGAGATAAAGAATCGTCTAATGAAAGTAATGAATCGTTAGAGGTTCAAGAGGGTAATATAATATCTGAAGAATCATCTAATGAAACTGATGACCTAGTTGAATCATTGGATGTTCAAGACGGTAGTATAATGTCTGAAGAATCATCTAATGAAACTGTTGATCTAGTTGAATTATTGGATGTTCAAGACGGTAGTATGATGTCTGAAGAATCGTTTAATGAAACTGATAATCTAGTTGAATTGTTGGATATTCAAGAGGGTAATATGATATTCGAAGAATCGTCTAACGAAAGTGATGATTTAAGTGAATCATTGAAAG